GGTGGTGGCTGTTAAATCAGGCATGTCCATAATTCAAAGGGGTAGTTTCTATGATTATTCTCATCCTACAGATGAAGAGACTAAGGCAGACAAGTTACATAATTTGTCTAAGATCATAACAACTAAGTGATAGACCCAGGAAAACAAATCAAAGTCTGTCTCTGAAGTCTAAGGTCTTAAATTCTACATAACAGTGACTCTCATCGTTAACATCAAGTAATTTCCAAGTAAACATAATGGTGCTGCTGTTTTGGAAAACAGCCTCCCAATTTCTCCACAGTTAAACACAGAGTTTATCATATAATCTAGCAGCCCCACTTCTAGCTAGAGAACTGAAAACATGTCCACACAAAAATCTGTCACAAATGATCACAGCAACATTCTTTAAAAAAAAAAATGTATTTATTTATTTGAGAGGCAGAGTCCCAGACAAAGAGAGGGAAATACAGAGATCCACTGGTTCACTCCCCAAATGGCCACAATGGCCAGCGTTGGGCCGACCCGAAGCCAGGAGCCAGGAGCATTTTCTGGTCTCCCACATGGGTGCAAGGGCCCAAGCACTTGGGCCATCTTCCACTGCTTTCCCAGACCATTAGCAAAGAGCTGGATCAGAAGAGGAGCAGCCGGCACCGCGGCTCATTAGGCTAATCCTCTGCCTTGTGGCGCCGGCACACCAGGTTCTAGTCCCGGTCAGGGCGCCGGATGCTGTCCCGGTTGCCCGTCTTCCAGGCCGGCTCTCTGCTGTGGCCTGGGAGTGCAGTGGAGGATGGCCCAAGTACTTGGGCCCTGCAGACCATGGGAGACCAGGATAAGTACCTGGCTCCTGCCTTTGGATCAGCATGGTGTGCCGGCCGCGGCGGCCATTGGAGGGTGAACCAATAAAGGAAGACCTTTCTCTCTGTCTCTCTCTCTCACTGTCCACTCCGCCTGTCAAAAAATAAAAATAAAAAAGAAGAGTAGCAGACAGGAGCATCCCATATGGGATGTCGGTGCCACAGGCAGAGGCTTACCCTACTCAGCCACAGCTTTTCAGCCCTAGCAATAAAACAGAATAAAGTACTGTAATGATACACGTTAGCATATTGAAAACATTATGCTCAGTCAAAGAATCCAGTCACAAAGGATGACTTAGGAGGTGCTGTGTGATACTATGTTTCAGAAGAAGCAAATCGAAGGTAGCTTATGGGTTGCCAAGCCTAGGGTGGTTTTAGAGAAATGGTTTTAGTGACTGCTAATGGTTAAAGAATTTCTTTTTAGGGTGATGTAAATGCTGTGAAATTTAATATGCTGATGGCTGTGCAATTTTGTGTATGAATCTATTGAAAACTAGCGAGCTATATATACTTTATTAATTTATTTGAAAGGCAGAGTTACAGAGGCAGAGGCAAAGAGAAAGAGAAAGAGGGAGCGAGCGAACGAGAAACTCTTCAATCTGCTGGATCACTCCCCAAATGACCACAATGGCTGGCGCTGGGCCGACCTGAAGCCAGGAGCCAGGAACTTCTTCTGGGTCTCCTATCTGGGTGCAGGGACCCAAGAACTTGGGCCATCTTCTACTGCTTTCCCAGGCCATAGCAGAGAGCTGGATTGGAAGTGGAGTAGCCAAGACTCCAACTGGCACCCATATGGAATGCCAGTGCTTCAGGCCGGGGCTTTAACCTGCTGCACCACAGCACTGGCCTCAGAGATATATACTTTAAACAGCTGAAGTGTGTAATATGCAAATTACATCTCAAATACTATTATTTAAAAAAAAGTAACACAGGGCCGTCTTTCTGACAGCAGGTGAAGCAGCAACCTACAACACTGGCATTCCATATGGGCAACAGTGGTTCTTGTCCTGGCTGCTCTAATTCCAATCCAGCTCGCTGCTAGTGTTCATGGGAAAACAAAGGAAGATGGCCCAAGTCTCTGGGCCACTGCCACCCACATGAGAGACCCAGAAGAAGCTCCTGGCTCCTGGTTTCTGCTTGGTCCAACCCTGGTTGTTGCAGCTATTTGGTATGTGAACCAGGGAATGAAAGATTTCTCTCCCTTGCTCTCTCTCCTATCTGTAACTCTGCCTATAAAATAAATACACTTTAAAAATTTTAAATAAAAATTAAAAATAAAATGTAGGCTTTTATTATTATATTATAAAGTACAAGCCTAAAAACAAAAACAAAATATAAAAACAAAAGGGGTTAAATGTTTTATATCTGAGTTTTATTATCACAGGAAAAATTATTCTGAGTTTCTGTTTTGTGTGTATGTGTGTGTTTTAAAGATTTATTTATTTATTTGAAAGGCAGAGTTACAGAGACAAAAAGTAGACATTTTGGGGAGCAGCTGTGTGGCATAGCAGGTTAGGTCGCCTATAATGCCAGCATCCCATAAGGGCGCCAGTTCCAATCCATCTCCCTGCTAATGCGCTGGGAAAGCAGCAGAAGATGGCCTGAGTGCTTGGCCCCTGCTACCATGTGGGAACCAGGATGAAGCTCCTGGCTTCGGGATGGCTCAACCCCAACTGTGTGGCCATCTGGGTAGTCTAGTGAACCAGCAGATGGATATAACTCTCTCTCTCTTCTCACGCTCTAAAAATTAAAGGGCGAGTCCAAGAGATCCAGCATTTAACTAAAAGAGCTCTATAAAAGAGGGACTAAATAAAAGATGAAGGCGAGGAAATCAGCAATGAAGAAAATTTCCTGGACGGCGCCGCGGCTCACTAGGCTAATCCTCCACCTAGTGGCACCAGCACACCGGGTTCTAGTCCCGGTCAGGGCGCTGGATTCTGTCCCGGTTGCCCCTCTTCCAGGCCAGCTCTCTGCTATGGCCCAGGAGTGCAGTGGAGGATGGCCCAAGTGCTTGGGCCCTGCACCCCATGGGAGACCAGGAGAAGCACCTGGCTCCTGCCTTCGGATCAGCGCGGTGCGCCGGCCACACCGTGCCGGCCACAGCGGCCATTGGAGGCAAAGGAAGACCTTTCTCTCTGTCTCTTTCTCACTGTCCACTCTGCCTGTCAAAAAATTTTTTTTTTCCTGTAACTGAAGGACAAGAATGCTCCAAATTTGAGACTTGTCTAGTATACAAGTAAAATGGATGCAAACAGACCCATACCAAGCAAGACATGTATCACTTTTTGTATCTGCTGAACAAACAGGATACTCCAGACTTGGAAAGGGAAAAACAACTCACATGAGGAATCATAATTGTCTCACACATCGCAACAAATACAGAAGTCTAGAAGGCAATGGAAAAATGCCTTTAAAATCTGGCAGGAAAGTAATTTTCAACCTACAATACTATTATCCAGATGATAGGACAAAATAAGGTATCTCTATACATGCAGTTTTTCAACAAAAAAATTTCCTTCCCATACACCTCCAAAAAGCTGACCAAAGGCTGCACTAAAATAAAGGAACAAATCAAGGAAGATGAAGACAGGGATACAGAAAGAAGAGGCTCTAACCCAAGAGAAAAAAGCAATTGCCAGAACAAGGCGAAACTAAATATTCTCTGTTCCCCTTCACCTCCCAAAATGCACTGCACTCTATACACAAGGGTGACTAGTTCAGTTTGAAACAAACTAACAGCCTGGGAGAGATGTAATTGATAGAATACTTAATTGGCTGAACATTTATTTATTTGGAAGGCAGAGTTACAGAAAAGCAGAGGCAAGGAGAGACAGAGATCTTCCATCTACTGGTTCACTCCCCAAATGGCCCAACAGCTGGAACTGGGCCAATTGGAAGCCAGGAGCTTCTTCTGGATCTCCCACATGGTTGCAGGGGCCCAAACACTGGATTGGAAGTGGAGCAGCCAGGACTCAAACCGGCACCCACATGGGATGCTGGCAAACATCTTGAGATAAGCTTAGGCAACTAGGCAGAGAGATTGGAATGAACTGATAATACATACAAAATACATGAAGCACAAACACAAAGCAAATAAAAGTTCAAAGGAAACAGTTTTATAGGAAAGTAGTTTTCATGAGTTGGTAGTATAAACATGGAATACTCTAAAATCACAATATTACAATGAAAAATGGCACAAAGAAAAGTGTGCATGTGTGGTGGGGGAAGACACAGGAAGAAGTCACAAGTCAATAAATATTTAAAACTGATTACTGAGGAAGTAGCAAAACAGGCATGTTATTTAGGAAATGAAGAGTAAATATTGCGGCTGGCGCTGTGGCACAGCCTGAAGCGCCAGCATCCCATATGGGCGCCGGTTTGAAAACCGGCTGCTCCTCTTTGGATCCAGCTCTCTGCTATGGCCTGGGAAAGGGTAATTTGCCAAAGTCCCTGGGCCCCTGTACCCACGTGAGAGACCTGGAAGAAGCTCCTGGCTCTGGATCAGCACAGCTCCAGCCATTGCGGCCATCTGGGGAGTGAACCAGCGGATGGAAGACCTGTCTCTCTGTCTCTACCTCTCTTGTAACTCTTTCAAATCAAATCAAATCAATCTTTAAAAAAAAAAAAAAAAAGAGTAAATATTGTCCATCCATCTCAAGAGAAAATTAAGTTGCCTCTCAGAAGAAAAAAATTCTTAGGAACCACAGTTTTAAAACTATTTGACTATAAATTATGTACATGCATAAACTGTTTTATCAACTACAAAAAAATAAGACAAAGGCTTACAGAAGTAAGTACTAACAGAAGTAGATACAAAGCCCACCAGAACACAGTGCTGAGGTTTGAGAAATTAACGCGTAACACATATTTTGCTTACTGTGTGTCAGTCCCAGAAGAACAGAAGGAAGCTAAGAGGACCAGGGGAGGCTTTCCTGGCTGCCAGAACCCCCTACCGCAAGGCGAGTGCAAGCTGGAGCAGTCGGGCAGGCGGGCGCTTTAAGGATGGGAGCGCTCACCTGCCTTCCTGAGCCGGACTGCTCAGGCTCTACCATTCTCCTCCCCAGAACCCACCCCTGCCACGACCAGTCTAGGGGCTGTTCTTTCCCAGGGATCAAGTCCCCATCCAGAACTGGTCCCTTGACCCTTTTATGGCTGAAAGCAACCCACCGACTCAGCCGCCGCTTCCTGCTCGTCTACCGCCAGAGCCCACGAGTCGGTGGCCATGGTCCCCAGCGCTGGTGGGACCCTCGATGTGGCGGATTCGCCCGCGGGCACGACGCGGCCGTGGGCTCCGGGGCGTCGCGGCGAGCCCGGTTCCGGCCCCGGCCCCGCAGAGGGGGAAGTCATTCGCTGCCAGTGCTGGGCACCGGAAACGGCGCGCCGCAGTGACGTCAGAGCCCGCGCCCCGACAGCCGCCGCTCTCCGCTCCAGGCTGCGGCTTCCGCTGCCTCGAGACCCCCGCTCTCTACCCCTCCACGGTGCAGGCTTTCTTCCTGAATTGAGGGAGTCCTCTTAATATGCACCAACTCAAGTCAACCGACTTCCCAACCATCGCGGCATAGCGTGGTGGCACAGAAGACGCTCACACAGATCCCACAGACCCTAACAGAAATGTAAACAAGCTGCTGCTTGGGTTAATGGCGTCTCATTTCAGAGTGTCAAGTGCAAGTTCTGGGTCCTCCGCACTTCTCATCTAGCTTCCTGCTAGGAGTGCACCTAGGAGACAGCCCAGGCCCGGGTGCTTGGGTTCTTGCCATATTAGTGGGAGACCCAGATGGAGTTAGGGGCTCCTGGCTTCGGCCTGGCCCCGCCCTGGCTATTGCCAAGGAGTGAACAAGGTGTGAACCACCAGATGGAAGTTCTGTCTCCCCCTCTCTGTCATTCTGCATTTCAAATAAATAAAGGCTACTTTTTTAAAAACTATTTCTGCAGACAAGCAAAAAAGTAAACAACATAACAGATATCTAGGTTTCCACCACAAGGCTTAAGAAATAGATACGCATCGAGATCCTAGACTCTCTTACGTTCACCGCCAACACGTCTGTTCAACGTGAGATTCTTGAAAGAACCCGGTTCCCAAAAGGAGGGCGCCGAGAAAGGAGAGCTGGGGAATAAAGGCACCCGGATTTGAATTCAGTCTCCGGCAATTGCTCCCCAGTGGGCGCAGGCGGCCTCGGCTTCCCGCGAAACCCCGGCGTGTACCCACCTAGCTCACAATTCTGCACGGCGCCGGGCTCACCAACAGGGCTCCGTGTATAGTCGCTCCCATTATTCCTTTCCCCTCTCCTCGGGGGTGGGAGCGAGAGACGCCCAAACAGGGGCGAAAACGGCCTCGCTTCTACCCGCACAGATACTCACATCGGCCACCGGCAGGGTGAGCGGAAACCGCCCCATGGCTCGACCTCGGAAACGGCCAGTCGCCCCAGCCATCGTAGCTCAGCATGGCGGTTAGCCTCCCCAACCGCCGTTGGCAGCCCCGGTGGAGCCCGAGTCTCATTGGCAGAAGCCAGTCCCGCCAGCCAATCAGCTGAGGGGAAGGCACATACAATTCCCGGGCATGCGCACACGAGGACTTTGGGGCCAAAGACCTGTGCTGGCTTCCCGCAGAGGGCCAGACGCCCAACTTCCTGAGGGCAGCGCAGTATCTGGTTTCTTTGATGTTAACTTTCAGAGGCTGTGTAGTGATTGGTTATGCTGCAGCCTGCAGCACTGGCATCCCATGTAAGTACCGGTTCAGGGCCCGGCTGCTCCACTTCTGATCCAGCTCCCAGCTAATGCACCTGGGAAAGCAGCAGAACATGGCCCAAGTGGTTGTACGTGTGTGGGAGACCCAGAAGAAGCTCCCTGCTCGGAGTCATTTGGGGAGTGAACCAGCAGATGGAAGACCTCTTTCTGTGTGTGTCTCCCTATCTGTTATTCTGCCTTTCAAATACATAAATATTTTTTTTAAAGACTAACATACAGGGGCTGGCGCTGTGGTGCACTGGGTTATCGCCCTGGCCTGCAGTGCTGGCATCCCATATGGGCGCCGGTTCAAGACCTGGCTGCTCCCTTTCCTATCCAGCTCTCTGCTATGGCCTAGGAAAGCAGTAGAAGATGGCCCAAGTCCTCAGGCCCCTGCACCCACATGGGAGACCTGTAAGAAGCTCCTGGCTTTGGATTGGCGCAGCTCCAGCCATTGCGGCCAACTTGGAAGTGAACCATCAGGTAGAAAACCTCTCTGCCTCTCCTCTCTTTGTGTAACTCTGACTTTCAAGTAAAATAAATAAATCTTTCAAAAAGAGTAACATAGGGCCGGTGCCGCTGCTCACTAGGCTAATCCTCCGCCTTGCGGCGCCGGCACACCGGGTTCTAGTCCCGGTTGGGGCACCGGATTCTGTCCCGGTTGCCCCTCTTCCAGGCCAGCTCTCTGCTGTGGCCCGGGAGTGCAGTGGAGGGTGGCCCAAGTGCTTGGGCCCTGCACCCCATGGGAGACCAGGATAAGTACCTGGCTCCTGCCATCGGATCAGCGCGGTGTGCCGGCTGCAGCGGCCATTGGAGGGTGAACCAACGGCAAAGGAAGACCTTTCTCTCTGTCTCTCTCTCTCACTGTCCACTCTGCCTGTCAAAATAAATAAATAAATAAATAAATAAATAAATAAATAAATAATAGAGTAACATACAGAAACCATTCAAATTGTGAATATAATGGATAAGGTAAGTGCGCCTGCCAGGTAGATAAGTTTTTTTCTTTGTATCTAAACTAACAAGTGTAGACACATCCTGTAGTCCCTCAGCAAAATCTCAGGCCCCATCCAGAGCTATTAAACCAGCATCTGTATTTTTAAAAAATGATTTATTTATTTGAAAAGAAGAGTTACAGAGAGAGGGGGAGAGACATCTTCCATCTGCTGGTTCACTCCCCAGATGACCACAACAGTGGGGGATGTAACCAGGACTCAAACCACAGCCTAATGGATGCCCACATTAAGCCACAATGCCAGTCCCCTCTTAGAGCTGCTTGAAACAAGCATTCAGGCACTTTCATTTGACCAGACAGCAACTCACTGAACATTCTAGGCCCATTTATAGATGCAAATATACTAAGCGAGAAAATATAGGACTATGTCCGTCCAAAACTAAGTATGTTAGTTGTGCTACCTTGAACCCCTGTTAGCCTCTTCAGGCCCCAAGGTGGGGTTCCACAAATGTTCTACTGGAGAGCAAGACACATGTACAGCACTCAGTGCCACCTGCAGGCCTATTTGCTTAGCCTAGAATAAATTAGGAATTTGCCAGAGGCTTCCTAACATATATAAGTTGTGTATTGCATAGACATTCTAACATGTAATTGACATTATTTACAAGGGAAAAATATCCCAGAGAACTGGGTGATTACAAAAGAATGTGACTCTGGTGCTTCAATTACAATTTCTCTCTCTCTCTCTTTTTTTTTTTTTTTTTTTACAGGCAGAGTGGACAGTGAGAAAGGTCTTCCTTTGCCGTTGGTTCACCCTCCAATGGCTGCCACGGCCGGCGCACTGAGGCCGGCACAGCACATTGATCCGAAGGCAGGAGCCAGGTGCTTCTCCTGGTCTCCCATGGGGTGCAGGGCCCAAGCACTTGGGCCATCCTCCACTGCACTCCCTGGCCACAGCAGAGAGCTGGCCTGGAAGAGGGGCAACCGGGACAGAATCCGGCGCCCCGACCGGGACTAGAACCCGGTGTGTAGGCTCCGCAAGGCGGAGGATTAGCCTAGTGAGCCGCGGCGCCAGCCTACAATTTCTCTTAATGTATATCCAACCAGTTATTGGATGAGTGAAAAATAAAATTTGTCTCTATTTTTTTCAGTTAAGGTGTTATAACAACAACAACTTGGGCAGCAGAGCAAAGTTACTGAGATTACAACCTAGTCTAATTAAGTGAGCTCTTTCCACATGTGGGTAAAACATGTGCAGCCGGCGCCGCGGCTCACTAGGCTAATCCTCCGCCTTGCGGCGCCAGCACACCGGGTTCTAGTCCCGGTCGGGGCGCCGGATTCTGTCCCGGTTGCCCCTCTTCCAGGCCAGCTCTCTGCTGTGGCCAGGGAGTGCAGTGGAGGATGGCCCAAGTCCTTGGGACCTGCACCCCAGGGTAGACCAGGATAAGTACCTGGCTCCTGCCATCGGATCAGCGCGGTGTGCCGGCCGCAGCGTGCCGGCCGCGGCGGCCATTGGAGGGTGAACCAACGGCAAAGGAAGACCTTTCTCTCTGTCTCTCTCTCTCACTGTCCACTCTGCCTGTCAAAAACAAAAAAATTTAAAAAAAAAGAAAGAAAGAAAAAAAAAAAATCTGGCCGGTGCCGTTGCTCACTAGGCTAATCCTCCGCCTTGCGGTGCCAGCACACCGGGTTCTAGTCCCGGTCGGGGCACTGGATTCTGTCCCGGTTGCTCCTCTTCCAGGCCAGCTCTCTGCTGTGGCCCAGGAGGGCCATGGAGGATGGCCCAAGTGCTTGGGACCTGCACCCCATGAGAGACCAGGAGAAGCCCCTGGCTCCTGGGTTCGATCAGCGCGGTGCGCTGGCCGCAGCAGCCATTGAAGGGTGAACCAACAGCAAAGGAAGACCTTTCTCTCTGTCTCTCTCACTGTCCACTCTGCCTGTCAAAAAAAAAAAAAAAAAAGAAAGTACAATCTGTACATAAAGGTCATTCTGTGGTGGCATAGAAATTTCAATCAATTTTCAGGTGGTTTAGGCTAAATGTGTTATTTGGGACCGATTTATTTTTAAGGTTTATTTATTTATTTATTTGAAAGGCTGAGTTATAGCAAGACAGAGGCAAAGAAAGAGAGGACTTCCACTGCTGGTTCACTCCGCAAATGGCCACAACGGCGGAACTGAGCCGATCCAGATCCAGGAGCTAGGAGCTTCTCCCAGGTCTCCAACCTGTATGCAGAGGCCCAAGGACTTGGGTCATATTCCACTGCTTTCCCAGGTGCATTATCAGGGAGCTAGATCGGAAGTGGAGCAGCTGGGACTTGAACTAGCACCAAGATGGAATCTGGAGCTGCAGGCTGGGGTTTTAACCCTCTGCATCACAGAACCCACCACTTGGAGCCAATTTGGATCAAAATAAACACTTGTCTCTCTTCCTATTGCTTTTATCTGTGTTCCCTAACCCTCCTTAAAACGCATATAAGGTTACATGGGGATCAAAATCTTAGCTCAATGGCTGCTGCATACTAAGTGTCAGTTATTATTAGTTTCTATGAACTGGGAAGCTGAATCAAGTCAGTTTTTACTGGCTTTTGAGCTTGACCTATTACTTTTTCAGATTTATTTATTTGAAAGAGCATTACAGAGAGAGGCAGAGGGAGGGAAGGAGGGGGAGAGAGAAATGTCTTCCATCTGCTGGTTCAC